TTTTGCGCATCTAAGTATCTGAGGATGATACTATGTCTAGGTGCTGATTTCTGGATGTGTCTTTGTTGAGTGGATGTTTTGCGCATCTAAGTATCTGAGGATGATACTATGTCTAGGTGCTGATTTCTGGATGTGTCTTTGTTGAGTGGATGTTTTGCGCATCTAAGTATCTGAGTTGAGATGACTCTATGTCTAGGTGCTGATTTCTGGATGTGTCTTTGTTGAGTGGATGTTTTGCGCATCTAAGTATCTGAGTTGAGATGACTCTATGTCTAGGTGCTGATTTCTGGATGTGTCTTTGTTGAGTGGATGTTTTGCGCATCTAAGTATCTGAGGATGATACTATGTCTAGGTGCTGATTTCTGGATGTGTCTTTGTTGAGTGGATGTTTTGCGCATCTAAGTATCTGAGGATGATACTATGTCTAGGTGCTGATTTCTGGATGTGTCTTTGTTGAGTGGATGTTTTGCGCATCTAAGTATCTGAGGATGATACTATGTCTAGGTGCTGATTTCTGGATGTGTCTTTGTTGAGTGGATGTTTTGCGCATCTAAGTATCTGAGGATGATACTATGTCTAGGTGCTGATTTCTGGATGTGTCTTTGTTGAGTGGATGTTTTGCTCCTGGTTTGTCTCCTCTCTGGGTTTTCAGAGAGTGTGATGACTGTAATGGCCTCTTTTCCTGACCTGCTCAGCTGCTGTGTGAATATTTCTTTTAACATATCTTCAAATCCACCTATTCTTTCTTCTCTCATCTCACATCTGGTGATGAATTTACATAGTACATCTTTGTCTGGTGTTTCACTGAGTGCAGAATTTACACTGACTTTTACCTGGGGTTTGTAAACATACTTTAAATCTTTATCAGTATAATATGAATTCTTGGTAAAGCCAACAATTTGGCCCACCCAGAGTCCATTTTTATTTTTGAATACATTGCCCTATGTGTTTCCTTTATGTATTGCCATAAATTTCTTTGAAAGCTCGACACTTGGACAGAATATTAAAGCAAACTAGGATTCTAATAGCTTCCTCTGAGGGCTGTCTTTTTGCTATTGTTGCTTCCTCTGAGGGCTGTCTTTTTGCTATTGTTGCTGTTGCTCCTGCTTGTTTTAGTAACTTCCCTGTGTTTCATCTTCAGAATGTGCCTCCCCTATATCCATCGAGATGTCTGTTGTTTTCGTCGTTGCTAGTTTGATTTTGGTTTGTTTTGAGACAGGATCTCACTGTGCTTCTCAGACTGGTGGGCCTCATGATCCTTCTTCCTCAGTCTCTGAAAAAGGTAAAGTTATATACATGGTCTGTCTCTGTGTCTGGCTTTTTATTCTCATTTAAAATTTTTAGCCTGTCTTCCCCAGAGTGGCCCAGCTGTGTCTGAACAGTTTTACAGGTTGATAGAGATTGTGTTCAAATGCATCGAGCCCATAGAGCTTCCCTCTTTTGCCACTGGCTAGGGTGCAGGTGAAACCCACTCTGACTTCAGACACTGTTCAAGCCGGTCATGGCTCTCACTTCCTGGCAGCCCTGGGTCTCTCCTGCGTTGTGTCATTCCATCAGCAGAGATGCCTGCGAGCCTTCCTTCCCTCCTGCAGCTGCCTCCTGTCCAGGATCCCTCCCTAAAAATGTGTGCCTTACCAGCTGCTCGCCTCAACCAGAGTGCAGCCTCAGAGCTGTGGCGCCCCTTCTTTAGGTCTGATTTGTGATTTGTCTCGACAGTGCTTCTGGACAGTGGACAGAGATCAAATCCAAGCCGCTGGCAACACAGCTGCTACCTCTTAGGACCAGAGAGGGGAGCCAGGGGCTGATGCAGGGGAAAGGAAATGTTTCTAAGTAAGCTTTCTTCTGTTTCTGATTTGAAATCATTGAGTTTAATCATAAATTATACTTCCCAAAATTTTTATTTGCCTTCAGTTTTTGGCTTCTAGTCCCCAGACAGAGTCTGTGTGACTTGATGCTTGACCTGTTTCCTCAGGTTTGTGCTTACTTTGGGAGGAGAGGAGTTGCTAGCTTATTTTGCCACAGTTGAAGGTTTGCCCCCGCCCTGTGGTTATTTCTTTCCCTTTTTTGCAATATTCTTATTAATTATTTAGGAATTTCATAAATGATCTAGGTGTTGTGACACATGCCTTTAGTTCCAGCACTTAGGAGGCAGATGCAGGCGGATCTCTGAGTTCAAGGCCAGCCTGGTCTACACAGAGAAACCCTGTCTCAAAAACAACAACAAAAAGAATTTCACGAATGTATTTTTATCGTCTTTACTCCCACCTCCTCCCCCTTATCACCACCCCCAGCCCTTCTCATCCAACTTTGAGATTATTTCTTTTTCGTTTTTCCCCATCAAGTCCAGTTTGTGTTGCCCGGCTGGTCTTGGGACTGTCGCCTTTCCTAGTGTGTGGTCAGCCCATCAGGGTCACATATTTAAGTGACTCTCCTTCCTCCAGTAGCTATTACGTGCCGTGGCGCCTGAGCTTATAATGATATTACATGTGTACTTTTCCCCTCTCTGCTGGAATTTGTCTACCTGGAGCTTGTGCTGGTTGTGTGCCGCTGTCACAACCACTGCGAGTTCATGTGCATCTGCCCTCTAGGGTCTGGAAAACACTGTTACCCTGATGTTATCCACCACATCTGACTCTAACAATCCTTCTGCTCCTTCTTTGAACAAAGATCCCTGAATCCTGAGGGAGAGGTGTGATATGGATTTCTGATTTATGGCTGAGCACTCTGTAGTATTTTGTTCTCTGAATGTTGATTGGTTAGGAGTGTCTGTGTTAATTGCCATCTACTGCAAGGAGAAGCTTTTCTGCTGACAGTTAAAAATGTTCTGATCTATTCAGTATTATAATAAGTCATGAGAATCACTTTTAAAACTATGTGCATTTAGCAGAATAATAGTATTGGGTTTCCTCCTGGGATATATCTAGCTACAGATTTTTGGCCCCTTTAATAATCCAAGGTGTGGATTCCATATAGTAGGTCTGAGCCAACCAGAAGTAGTGGTTGATCCCATAACCTGTGTGCCACTATGGCACGAGTGGGCATGTCTTTTCAAGACAGTAGTTGTAGTTGTCAGGATTCATATCTAGGTGAGATTGAGGCTTACATTTCTTTTCTGGCAGCATGCATAGCACCTTCTAGCACCATGAACACTGCCCTGTAGGTGAGTACCAGTTTGATGTCCCCATGTTCTGTGACTCAAGCATATGGGGTCTTCAGCAATGAGGTCTTCCCATCAAGTTATAGCCAGGAGTATTCTGTAATATTCTGGTAATAGTCTGTAATGTTTGGCAGTCAGTGTCACCCCATTGCACAGCATCTCAAAAACAGGCAATTCATTTCTGTTACTGGGGTATTTATTTGCTAGCATAGGATGTCTGTTTGGGGTATTGCCCTCCCATTGTAGGGTAGCACAATTAAGCCACTTTTTATATGTGTATAATTATGTAATATTACGAAGTTTCTGTGGTAGTAGGTCTCCGTATGGTTTTTTTCAAAGATCATTTGTATTAGTTTTATCCCTGCTCATGTTCCTCCTTTACCCTGCTCGCCCATCCCAATTTAACCCTTCTCATCCCATTGTTTCCCTTTCAAAACAGTTCTCTGAACTGAACTGTGTCTACGAGTCTCCTGGGTTGTTCTTTTGAGGTCTTGTAAAATGTAGGCTATGCTCCTCTTAGAGGCAAACCCTCAACTGTAGAATGAAACAGTTCCGCATGAGTCAGTAAGAAGTCCTTCAGGAAAACGTGTGTGTGTGTGTGTGTGTGTGCGCGCGTGCGCGTATTTATGTAAATGGCTTTGGTTCCTTTACTAACAAAGAGGTAAGAGAAATGCTTCATTCTGATTGTCAAGTTACTGGTATTCCTGTGTATCACTGGAGAAAAATTAAAGAATAATTATAAGCCAAAGAGAAACATGGCTAACCAAGGCAGAACCAAAGAAATTAATCTAATTTATAGCGTGTAAATGGCATGTGTGCTCCACTGTGTTTGACAGTAAATCAGTGAATAGCTCCTTTTCATGGCCTTTGGCATTTTTTGGACTATAATTGTGTTTCAGAGTAGAAAGTCAACCTGAATGTTAATAGTGACTTGGAATGTAAGATCAATGTTTATCTTAAAAGAACAGAGCTGATGATATAGCTTAGTAGATGTATTAGTCACTGTGAAGAGACACCATGACCACAGAAACTCTTACAAAAGAAAGCATTTAACTGGGAACTTGCTTACAGTTTCAGAGGTTTAGTCCATTATCATTATGGTGGTGAGCATGGTGTCATGCATGCAATAGATGAAACCCATCCTGATCCTTGTGCCTGGCAGGATTTCAAACCTCAAAGCCCACTTCCTCCACAAGGCCACACCTCCTAATCCAACCCCTCTAATCCTCAAATAGTGCCACTCTGTGATGGACAAGTATTCAAATATATGACTCTAAGGGGTCCACTCTCAATCAAACCACCGCAGTGGGTAAAAGCACTTGCAACCAAGCTTGATGATGGGAGGTCAAGCCCAGGACCCCAGTGGCAAAAGGAGAGGAACAACTCCTGCAAGTTCTCCTCAGATTGCCACATGGCTATATGCGTGCATGTCCACATGTGCTTGTGTGTACACAGGCATGCGTGCATGTGTATTGTGTGTGTGCACACGGAGGGTGTGTGCATGTGTATTGTGTGTGTGTGCACACACGGAGGGTGAGGGAGAGAGAGAAATGCGTGCATGTGTATTGTGTGTGTGCACACACGGAGGGTGAGGGAGGGAGAGAAATGCGTGCATGTGTTGTGTGTGTGCGCGCATTGTGTGTGTGTGTGCACACACGGAGGGTGAGGGAGAGAGAGAAACAGGCATGTGTGCATGTGTATTATACGTGTGCGTGCATGTGTATTGTGTGTGTGCACACACTGAGGGTGAGGGAGAGAGAAATGGTGTACAAATCCTAAACAATTAAAAAGTAAAGCAGATTAACTTTTTGAAGTAGTTCAGTGACAGCTTGAATTGTTGCAGGAACATCCAATACTTGGGCAACCATTTTTTGTTCTACATCCCTGCAAGACAAATGAATTCATGACTGCTGTGCTGAAAAATTCGCAGAAAATCAATCGGTAAGAAACACCTTCAAGACACATTGTACTCTACTCTGACTTTAAAAGTATAAATCTTTTCACGCGACTCTAAAAGCCAGGCTAAAAATAAGAAATATTCTTTCTAATGGTAATGGTGAACACATTGATTTTGGCCGTGTGCTAAGTGTCCTGATTTTTAGATCTATGAACACATTGGGCTTTTCTGACACCCTAGAAACTGAGTACCACTGCTTTACTTAGTTCCTGACACCCCAGTAACTGAACACCGCTGTTTTACTTAGTTCTCAGACAGGAGAGCTGAAGCACAGAGGCGCCAGGTGAGTCTGCTGACGTCGCGCAGCTAGTTCGGGTAGTTCTGGGACTGGAATACAGCATCTTTAGCCCCGCACCACTGTTTTAGCTACCGATTCAGCCAGCCCAACAACTGCTTACATTCAAATAAGAATCAGAGGCCCCAGTTCTGTCTTGCCTTCAGCTACCTTGGTGAGAGATATCCCTATACTCAGGATGACAAGTCCAGCTTACACCATGTGACTGACACAGGGAGTTCTGGGATGCCAAGCAAGCCCACGTCTTGCGGAAGGCCTCATTTCTCTTCCTTTTGGCCACTCTCTGGTCCTCCATCCGAAACTATGATACAGCATTTCTATTACCTATGACTCACTTCTTTTCTAGAAATGTCAACTACATCACATCATGGCTGAGCATCGTGGGGCCAGTTGTTGGTCTGAATCTACCTCTGAGCTATGCTAAAGCCACATCGCAGGACGAGTGATCTGCAAGGTAAAGAGCAAAGCCTGGGTTCATGCTTCGTTGTCAGAAAGATAGTGTCTCTCTTACCCTTAGCCACATCTCATATCCAGGGTCAGTTTGCATCGTCTTTACTGGACTGGGCCCTGGCTAGTTCTTTAGTGTTCCAGTTATTTTAGAGGTGCCTTACCTTGCTACAAAGGACACTCACACAACTACAACAGTGGGTGGTTTTATTTTTATGACCAATATTCTGGAAATAGACTTTACTGCCCTCCTTCATTCTCTGCTTTTGTGTTGTTTTTGTTCCCCAGGCTTCTGCTGATCCTAGAAACTACAGCATGGAGAACACCAAGGGTGCACCTGAGAAGCCTCGGTGTCTGTGGAACTGGGACTGCAGAATCTCATGTCACCAAGATTTGATGCAGATTTCTTTCCTTGGGAAGAAAGCATCTGTAAACCTGTTTGGAAGAATTGTACGAAGGAACACATCGCAGATTCAGATCACTATAACTATGAAGAATGAATCTAATCCAGTGCCGTTGTACTGCTGACCTCATGGGGCTCGCACAGGCCCTTTTCCTCCAGGCACAGTTCTTTTTCTGTTGTGGAGATTGGTGGAGTAATCTATTTGTGTGTTTGGTTTTGCATAAGATGAATGGAAATTGCCAGGCTGTGGTGATGCACGCCTTTAATCCCAGCAGAGGCAGAGGCAAGTGGATCTCTATGAGTTCAAGGCCAGCCTGGTCTACAGAGTGACTTCCAGGACAGGCTCCAAAGCTACACAGAGAAACTGTCTCAAAAAACCAAAGAGAGAGAAAGAGAGAAAAAAAAGATGTCTGGAAATTAAAATGTAGAACTTACTTGGCTCTGGAAATTTATTTTGTAAAAATAACCCATCTTAAATTATTCTCCCACAATCAATCTTAGTAGCAATGGATTATTTCTCTATAACTCCCTCAAAATGCATGTGTATGTGTGTGTGCGTAAAAAAATAGATACAAAATAAAGAATAAATTATCATTTTATTATAATAATATGTTTTACAAGCAAAGTTTGACAAGATAACTAGAGGTTTTTTACATAGTTATGGGAAACATTTAAGCATTGCAATTTTCTGATAAAAATAGCACTATCATTTTCTGTCTACCTGCGAGCCCCACAGCTGCTCTGCTGCATTCCTGGAGGCTTTTGTGCAGGGCTTCGTAACCTACAACTCCCTTCTTTTCAGTGTGAGAATAACAAGCTGCTTCCCAGCGTCGCTGTGAGAGCTACATGAAATGATTAGTGCAAAAGTTTTGAAGAGTGTATACAAATACTAATTAAATGTTCTTTAGTTTCATGCTCTCCTCAGCTTGCTGTCAGTGACTATTGTCACAAGGCAGTATTGGACTGTATGTCACTAGCCCAGGAAAAGATCAAAATTCAAAATATGGTTTCTGCTCCTTGTGTATCATCACTTTACACCATCATGAAGTAAAAAATTGTTCAATTGCACTACTGTAAGTTGGTTTGTCTGTATAAGAATAGTAAGAACATTTAGAACTTTTTTCTTTTTCAACACAATGGCTGCTACAGTTTGAATGGCATTCATCTTTTTTGAAACCTCTGTTGAAATTTAATTCCCATTGATACTGAGAAGTGGTGGGTCCTTTAAGAGAACAGGCTGTCAAGAGGGTCTGATTCTGATCTCAGAGAAATAGACCATGTTCTTGTGGGAGTAGGTGGTTATAAAGTAGATGCTAAAAAAATAAAATGGCCCCCACAGGCTCATACATTTGAATGCTTGGTCCCTAGTTGGTAGGACTATTTAGACTATTTAGGACTATATTAGAAGATTGGCTTTGTTGGGTTGGAGGTTTCAAAAGCTCACACCAGATCTAGTATCATTCTCACTGCCTACAACTTGCAGATCAAATCTGAGTTTTCAGGTACTGCTCCAGCACCATGCCTGCATGCTGCCATGCTAACCCACGATGGTCATGGACTAACCCTCTAAACTGTAAGCAAGCCCCCAGTTAAATGCTTTCTTTTTAAATTGCCTCAGTCATGGCGCCTGTAGTGATTTGAATAAAAATAGTCCCTATAGGCTCATAGAGAGTGGTATTATTTGAAAGGATTAGGTCGTGTAGCCTTGTTCAATAAGTGTGTCACTGGGGCTGGTCTTTGAGGTCTCTTCCCGCTGCCTGCAGTCCACATGTAAGACTCAGCTACCTCTCCAGCACCACGTCTGCCTGCATCCACCATGCTTCCTGCCATGATGATAATGGACTAAGCCTCTGATCTGTAAACCAGCCCAATTAAATATTTTTCGTACCAGAGTTGCGTAGTCATGGTGTCTCTTCACAGCACTATAAACCCTAACTAAGACAGCTGATACCAGAGACTGGAGTATTGAAGTGATAGGCCTGACCTGACCATGCTTTTGTCTGGAGGAATATGGAACACTTTGGGGTTTAGGACTAGAAAAGCAATTGGGTATTTTAAGCAGGGATTAATGGGCCATCCAAGTAGGAACATTGAAGACAGTGGTTCTCAGGGTGATCTGAACAGCAGTTCAGAAGTTTCAGAGAATAATATTAGCAAGTGGCCTAGAGATCATTCTTGTGATATTTTGGTGAAGAAAGTGGCTGTTTTCTGCCCTTGTCCAAAAAAGATCTTCCTGAGGTTAGAATGAAGAGTTATACATTAACAGCTTCGACAGAGGAGATTTCCAGAGAGCCTATACTGATAGCGTTGCCTGGGTATTAGTGGCATGCAGATTTCTAATGAAAAGCATCAGACTGAGCAAGGAAAAATACAAAATGCACAATTTAAGGAGAAAATGGGGTACCAGGAAATATAATTATTCCCACTGGGCAAGAATAAGAACACTACCACAATTTTTTAGCCAAATTTGAAGTGAACTTTATTAAATATTGGCCAGGATGATGGACACTGGCCAGGATTCTCAGAGAATGCCTGCAAATTACGTTTGTCAGGTGCTTATAAAGGCAAAACTCACAAGGCCATTCATACAGTCTGGGCAAGCATACACCCTGATGTAGTTCCTGCCTACATGTAATCAAGCACATTCTTTGCTGTTACAGAATATTCCTTTACACTGTGTGAAGATATATCACTGTGATTGGTTTAATAAAGAGCTGTTAACTAGGCAGGAAGAGGTTATGTGGGACTTCTAGGGACAGAGAGCTCTGGGAAGAAGAAAGGGGGAATTGCCAGCTAGACTTTGAGGAAGTAGGATGGGCAGTGTGGAATAAAGGGAATTGAGTCATGCAAAAAACATAGATTAAAAGGCATGGGTTACTTTAAGTTATAAGAACTAATGAGACAAGCTTAAGCTAAGGCCAAGTTTTAATAACTAATAATAAGTCTCTGTGTCATTTTTTGGAATCTGGTGGTCTAAAGAAAAATCCACCTACGCTATAGTTCAGGCAACCAACCTTGTTTACAAAAGTGAAAACAGGTATCTTGTTGTATGTGAACAGGCCTCAAATTCCAGGAAGTTGTGTGCCCTTTGGCAGGTTTATTTTTCCTTGGATGAGTAGGGTTTGCCAGATTAGAGGCATTTTTGTTCTATAGAACAAAAGATAAGCACAGTAATCAAAACTTAAAACATAAATTTAACCCTCTTAATTCCTGTGTTCAAGGAGATAAACAGATTCAAGAAAAGCCTAATGCTAAAGGGAGCGGTGGCCCCAGGGCAAGACCCTACCCAGCTAAGCTTCCAACTTGTGAAAGGAATTAAAGAAAAGTTTAGGCGGGGTAGCCCTAACCTTTACCCCAGCCTTTAGGAGGCAGAAGCAGGCAGATTTTTTAGTTCAAGGCCAGCCTGGTCTACAGATTGAGAATAGTTCGAGGACAACCAAGCTTAGACAGTGAAGGAAACCATCAAAAAAACAGAAAACTGGTGAAAATGTATTTGAATGAAGGGGCTATGTTCCAGCCCCAGCAAACAGCAGAACTTGATATCTTTGGTTCTGGTTTTAGAGTCAAGGATACGAGAAAGAGTTTATGAAATCTCCCTCCGCGACTAAGGAAAACTGCTGACCAGGCATGGGGCAGGGGTGTTCCTGCATGGAGACCCAGACAGGCCACTGCATGAATCTGTAAAAGTGAAGCCTGGATTGCCTTGGAGAACCCAAAATGTTGAAGATGCCAGAGCTGAGGGATACCTGCTGAGGAGAGCTGCTAACAGGGAGGGGTCCAGCTCAAGGGAAAGAAGTGTGTCCAGTCAAGAAAGCTGAAAGGAGTTGCAGATCTGAAGAGTGCTTTAGCATCAGATATGGAGAGGCACAGTTTGGAGTTGCCCGGCTGGTTTTGCTCTTGCTCTGTAACAGTAATTTATATCCTGTGTCCTTATATGTTGGAAGTATGTGATTTGCTTTTTTATTTTGATTTTATAGGGACTACAGTTTAGAGATTGTCATGAGACTCAGACAAGACTTTGAACTTTAGACTTTTAAACATTGCTGAGATTGTGATAGACTATGGAAACTTTTGGAGTTGAACTGAATGCTTTTTTGCATTATGATATGCATACAAGCCTATAACGACCAGGGAGTGGAGTGTGGTGCTTTGAAAGAAAATGGTCCCCATAAGCTCATAGAGCGTAAGCATGGCCTAACTAAAACAGCGTCTCCTCCCAACAACAGAATAGTAACTAAGACAGTAGGTCCACCCCTTACCCCACCTGTGCTTCCTCACGTACCTGCTTTCCTGCTTTCTGCAGTGCGTTAAAGCAGCAGAAGGTGTTGGCCAAGTGCAGTTGACCAACCTTGAGCTTTCCAGCCTCCAGAACCAGGAGTCAAAATAAACCTGTTCCATCATGAATCAGTTTCAGAAGTTTTGTCACTGCAAGAAAATCAGAGCCAGAGATGGCTTTGTGGGAGTGGGATCTGTACTTAGGGTGAGCCAGTACTCCTCTGGGGAGGCGCAGAAGTCTATAAAAGCACTGCAGTCCACATGTGCAGGATAAGGACTGAACTCTTAGAATGCGAGCTAGTAGGACGAGGTTCATCTAAACTGCTAGCAAAGCTACAGGTAAACTTAAAGTGTGAGCTGCACATATTCCTGCCAGGGTGAGAGCTTGTGTCTGTGCTCACTGGGCCCTTTGCTGTTTCCACTTAACATCCCCACAGCTTCTGCAAGGGAGTTCCCTTCACCCTCCCTAATGTGAATGAAGATTCTCAGCAGATCATTTCCCAAACCTATCCTCGTGTGTATGTAGTGGGGAGGGGTGTTCTGAATAACACACTTACCTGGAAATACTAGTTCTTCTTCGCTAACAAGCTCTGAGATGTTAACCTACCAGCTCAGGCCAAGTTTAGGTTTGGTTTTGGTTCTGTCAGTACTGGGGACTAAACCTAGGGCCTTGCACCTCTTAAGCAAGCTCTTCTTAGCTTCTTTTTTACTCTTTATTTTGAGAAGAGTTGCACAGGCAGATCCTGAACTCTTGATCCTCCTGCGCCAGCCTCCCTAGTAGTTGGGACTACAGGTCTGTGCCCCAAGACCTGATTTACCAGGAGCTTTCAGTGGTCACTCATTCACTTTGACCCCGCCCCGTGTTCGTTTTCGATCATAAGTCGTTGAAGGTGAGGACACTATTTTGGGTCCTGCCATTAAATTCTAGGAATCATCCAACAAAAATATAGTCTGTATGTAAAAATAGAAAATAAAGTTAGTAAATATATTAAGAAAGAAAAGGGCATGGAGTTAGGTGGGTTTTGAAGAGTTAGGGGAGAGGAAATTGTGATCAGAATATATTGTATGAAAAACATTTTTTTTTTCTAGTAAAAAGTCAGGGTCTTCTAGCACTCAGGAGGCAGAGGCTCGTAGATCTCTGAATTCGAGGCCAATCTGATTTATATAGCAAACTGCTGGCTAGGAGTACATGGTGAATGTGTGTGTGGGAGAGAGAGAGAGAGAGAGAGAGAGAGAGAGAGAGAAGGAAAAAAGGGCCTTTGCTTCTCATGTTGACATGATGGATCAAGAAAGGCTCCGGTCCGCAGTGAAGATGGGGTTCTCCTGCTCGCAGTGGAGATGGGGTTCTCTGGTCTACAGCGGAGATGGGGTTCTCCTGCTCGCAGTGGAGATGGGGTTCTCTGGTCTACAGCGGAGATGGGGTTCTCCTGCTCGCAGTGGAGATGGGGTTCTCTGGTCTACAGCGGAGATGGGGTTCTCCTGCTCGCAGTGGAGATGGGGTTCTCTGGTCTACAGCGGAGATGAGGTTCACCAGTTCACAGTGGAGATTCTCCAGCCAGTGGGAAAAGCAGAGCAGGTAAT